TTTTGCATTAAGACAACACATTAATTTTAAATGTGCTGGCAAGGCACCATAACGCAGGTACAAAAGGATCTTCAGCACATTGTTATTGCACTGCAAAGCAAGATACTATATTTGTGCATTAGGCTGCCATTTGGAATAGTGATACACTGCACGGCACAGTGTAGCATATGCTATTTGCATTTAAAGGGGAACTATGAGATGAGTGATTTCCACTCACCTCATAGTTCTAGCCGACCTGTGACAATGAGACTGTCACAGGTCGGCTCAGTAGATCGGGAGGTGAGCCAACACATCCCGGGTTCGCCCACCTCTCGATCCTGTCACGGCTCTCTGCCGTGGCAGGGGGAGGGGCTGGATTCCCCTCTCCCCGCTAGCTCTGGCGGAACGGACGGGGGCGGGTACAGCTGGCTCTGCCTCTAGATAGGCAGAGCCAGCTGTAACTCACGCAGCTGGGCGGATCTCGACATTGATGTCGGGATCCGCTCCAGCTGCGGCGTCTCAGTATACAGCGAGCTGTAGCTCGCGGTATACTGAGCCTAGGGTGACGGGAGGACGCTAGTTTGTGTCTTCCCGTTACCCTAAGGAGAACTATGGGGAAAAACACTGACCCCATAGTTCTCCTTTAAGCGATTGCATAGGTGTGCAGGGGGCTTAGGGAAGGCAAAGGAAGGTGTTAACACTTCTGTCTATTGGGTGAGCTGCATCAGAAACATTGGCGGTTGGAGTGCTGTAAAAGACAAGTCAGATGTCTCCCTGTCCATCATACTCAGGAAGACATTTAGAGGCAGCGCTAGTTTCATGCTGTGATAATCAATCTCTAAGGTCCGCTAACAATTCCCTGACTATACTCATTGAATCATTTCTACATCCTAGTAACCAATATTTGTGTCGTAATCAAACCTTAGCCTGCCGATAGCTAATTATAGCCATTAAACTAACAACTACTTGGGTGTGTCTTTCTTAACAAGTGCAAAGTCACTGCCAGATAACAGGTCTGACATGTGGACAGGAACAAACACTGGAATGGACATTATTGGCTAGAATGCTTGTCAAGTATGCAGCGCCTAAAGTGGAGACGTTCAGCACGAAGTTAGACATCAGTTATTTTTTTTAAGCCTGTTGCTGCGATTGTCTTCCTTCTTCCACTCGTTTCCGACAGTCCCTCCAATGTTAGTGCCAGTCTCTGATCCACTACAGACTCCTCGGGTGCCGCGGTGTCTGTCCAATGTGTGCGCTCCCAGGTGCGTCCATTGAGCTTGAGGGCCCAGTCACACCATATCCAGTGCGGTTCGCGCCCAGAACGCACTGTATCGCATAGATCGAGCAGGGCAGCGTTCTGGGATGGGGCATGTCAGTGCCATTCATGTCAATGGCACCGCAGACATGCCCCCCACCCGCAATGGAACACGAGGTACAGGAATGCCCTCCATTCCAGCGCAATGTGAAAAAAATAGTGCATGCAGATTTTTCAGTGTCTGTTTTCTCCCCTCCGCTCTACTGCGCTTGCATCCGCACACTTCCACCTTCACAGCCGTTCGGGAGGCGAGAGTTCTTTAGCTGGGAGCGAGCAGCGTTGGAACAGGTAAGTAATGAGGTATTTGCCTAATTTATTTATTTTTTAATCAGCGGCCATAGAGCTTCTGCTTGCTAGCACTAGACATATGCCAAAAAATAAGAGACTTTAATTATATTTTATATATAAAAGACTTTATATATTAAAGATACTTTTTATTTTTATATTTTATTTTATATTTTAATGATATATTTTTTTATAGGTTAGAAAATATGAAATTACACTTACCTGCTTACCTTGGGAAATATCTCCATGTCACCTCTTCCCCTAAATTTATACGTGAAGCCCTATGAACAGTATATTTATTCAAAGATAAAATCCTTGTTTGGGTTAAATAAAAAAAATAGAAATGCAGGATCAAATGTTTTACTTTAAAATGTCATGTCAAAATGTGTAGCGCCCACAAAAAAATGTATTTGATCATGTGATCGTTTATAGTAATAAAATCATTAAATCCCAATTGAACGTTCAGTTTAAATTGTCTTAGTGCATTCTGGGAGCATCAATTAAATCATCTATGTGCAGCTTGTGTTACCGTTTCTTTTCAGTAGAAAGCTACTAAAGGTGCCAATACACTGTACAGTTATCGTACGAGAATCGCGGGAAATCCCGCGATCGTACGAGAATCGCAAAGTGTATGGAAGGCGTGCGACCGTTTCTACTGTACGGTCGCACGTCTTCCGTCGAACAAGCAGGCTGGAAAACCCGCCGAGAATCGTACGATACTTGTCGGGTTAGTGGCGTGTTTGTTCAACAACTGCCGAACGGGCCAGTGTGCGCACACTGCCCGTTCAGCATTGCAGTCATCGGAAGCCCGCCCCTCAGCTGGGCGTCTTTGTGATGATCGCATCTACGATCTGCCTGTCTAAGATGGGCAGATCGTACGTTTTTTTAATTACTTTACAACCATCGCAAGACAAAAGTCTTGCGAGGGTTGTACAGTGTATGGCCACCTTTAGAGTAGAAAAGCCTGTCTCCCGACAGCATATGGCAGAGAAGGACATTTGCTCGTTGTGGGGAAGCAGTGGTCTCTCTGCGGAGGTCCCACACACACTGGGGATTAGAGCTATAGTTCTGCAATCAGCGAACCTCTTCTTCTCTGCTTATTGGAGCTTTGACTTAGCATTGGGGGGGTTGGCATCGGTATTCATCTCACCAATATTCAGGGGACAGCGGCCAGGGCCCTGTGCAGCCTGTATCCTGTGCACTGCCTCCTCTGCAGAGTGATCTCCTCCTCTGCTGCCTTTCACATAATTCCTTCAGGCCCAGAGAAGGAGATGGAGCCACACAGAGAGCACGGCCAGGCACAAGGTGAAGCTGCACAAGCTAAATCATTCATCAAATTCATATGTAATACTTGGACTCTGCAAATGAAAGTAAAAGATTACACAGCAGGTTTTAATTAAGATAAAATAAATGGATGTTCCCTAATCCCTTCTACACTAGTCTAGTAGTCCTCCTTGGTGACCTCAGACATGCTGGGATTTGTGTTCCTCCAGAGACCACAAGTATACTAGGACTAGGAGTCATGCCTGTGGCTGTCAAGAGTCTTGCCATGCCACAAAAGCTGTTGTGCCGGCCTGCCTATCCTTGGGTTAGAACCTCTGCTGGGTTTCTACTGTTACCTATATGCCATGATGAGGATTATTGTGCAAAACATGACTGGTTTAACCAAAAAAAATTATTTTTTTCATCACTTTTCCTTTATTTTAGCTCTTCAAAATAAAAAATAAATAATTTAAAGGTTAGAAAAAAGGGCGTGTACAGTAAAACATGACACTAAGAACAGTTGGTTTTGCCCCATTCTTACTACAGCTTCACTGAACATACAAGAAATACAATAATATGTACAAGATGTTATTGACTTAGACTGTACCGCAATGAAATGTATACATGTTTTTACCGTTATATCGAATATATGTACAATAAAAATTATTTTATATATTGATCAAATCAAGTTTTGGTGTTATACCTCTCAAAAAAACCCCACTTTTCTGTATGTAGTCACTGAACATACAAGCAATGCAATTTATTTGATAAATAAACCCCTTAAAGGCATAGTCCACGTTTAAAAAAATAATAAATGCACATATATGTGTAAAATATATTTATTTATTTTCTTTGGAGCCAGTAAAGCATTGCAATGATGATCTGCTGATCAGGTGCAGTGCTCGGTCCCCTGCAGATTCTCCCTTCCATCCCTGTCCATACCAATGTACAGATGTTCAGTACCGGGGGAAAAAATAAAGTATAATTGGACTTGTATTCCACTGAGTACTACAGTAGCAGATGAGACTTGTAGTTTCTCCATTCACAGATCCTGTTAAAGGACCTGCCAATGGATGACGCAGCCTCACACGCGGCACCATGTGGATTATAACGTGTGCAAAAGACACATGAAAGGCCTTGGCAGCGAAAGGGTTAAAGCGAATCTCTTGGTGAAATGTTCTTAACCCTTGCAGTAGGTGTACCCCAGCACTGCAAGGGTTAAGTGCTTGTTTTTATTTAGGCACTAACATAAATAAAAGTTATGCTTACCCAATCCTAGACCGCTCCCTTCCGCCTCACTACCCCCTCCACTGCAGTGGTCTAAGGATCCTCGAATCAGCACGTTCTACACAATGTATAGGATGTGAGGACGCAGAGAGAATGAAGGACAAGACAAGCTGGAGGGAGCGTCGTCAACGCTGAGGTTCAGGAGAGTATAACTTTTTTCTTTTATACACTAGATGAAAATGAGCAGTTAACCCTTGCATTGCAGGGGTAGCCCTACTGCAAGGGTTGATACATTTTTTACCCGGAATTCTTCTTTACAAGGTTCACAAAACGCCCACATGACATGACATAGGTATGAGCTCTCAGTGAACAAGTAATAGTGACCTAGACTTTGATCACCTTATATAATGTGTTCAATTTTAGGGGGAAAGTTTTTGATATCTTATATGTAATTGCTCTTGTCCATCAAATAATCATCTGTGGAGAGTGAGCTTCCAACAAGCTGAAAGCATGTTCATTCCTTCATTTCTATTGGTCATCAGCGATCATTTTCCCAGACCGCTGAGCATGTTGTTGTTCATTGGATTCTCAGAGTGCGGTCGGCCTTATATACAAAGAGAGAGAGGGTTGGTGGTCAAACTTCCCCCCTGCCATATTAATTTCTAGGACGACAATCTCTCTCCTGCCATGCAGATGACATCATTGTAGAATGAGAATGTTCAGTCTATCTCTTGATTCTTCAAGTTATCTCCTGATGTTCTGCCCCATCGCACACTTCCGATCTAGCTCTCTAGTTATCAAAGAGAAAGCGATGAGCCAATGAGATGTGAGCAGCAGTGAGGCTGGCCCCGCCCCTCCTCCTGCCAGTCTCAGCAGGCTGTCATTGTTCCTGACACCGGGGCCCTTCTTCACTAATAGGCCGCTTTGGTGTGCGGAAAAAGGCTTAGGAACGTCATCACGGTGGGTTTGGTTACCCCGGGAAAGAAATAAAAATCGAACAGGCAAAAGCGCCGGAGCGTGCGTATTACATTCGTATTTGTTTATCGCAATAAAGTTCCTCGAATTAAAAAAAAACGTCAATATTAGTGACATCTGCGACCCCGTTGCGCGCGCTACAACCAACCTTGCTAAAGAAAGGTAAAAAGGAAAGGGGCGTTATACCCGGAAGGCGAGGGCCAATCGGAAACGGGAACGGTAAAACCCGGCTTCGCTAAACACCAATGGAATTATTGACTAGGACGACAGAAGGCGTGGTCGGCCTGTCGGCGTATTCATGGTTGTATGTGCGACGGTGAGGAGGAGGAGGGAGCCGGCGGCGGAAGGGAATCTCCCGCCATTTTTCAATCCCTTCTTTTCTTGTGTGTGTAAGGAGTCCGGGCGGGAAACCGGAGGGGGTTGCCCGTCATAGAAAGCGTTTTCTTTCCCCGCTACGTCATCGGCAGCCACTGACTAGGACCGCCGCTGTCTCCGGAGCCACGCATCGTCCCTTCGCGCTGCTTTCGGGATGGCGCCGCTGCTGGGCCGCAAGCCTTTCACGCTGGCCAAGCCGATGAGCGAGCCACCGCCTGAAGGAGAGGAAGTGTTCACTGTCGAGCACACGAAGGAAGCGTTCAGGAGCCTGGAGTATCCTTACTGCCCATTGCGGGAAGCCTGACCTCGGTATCACCAGGGGGGAGAACACGGGAGGGGGATGGGAGCGCTGTGCCACCGGGAGCAGTACGGGACATCGCTGTGGCCATCTGTACATAGAGGAGCTCTGATCGCGCTGCTGGGTTTGTTGGAGAGTATGTGTGGCAGACATCTGTATTATACAGGCAGGAGGGGATGGAGGCATACCCACGTTTGTCACATGAAGAATCACCGAGCCGGTTCGTAGTAATCTTGTAACCTCCCTGCCCCCCGATAATCTGTTTAAAGAAGAACTCTGGGGATAAATATTTGTAACCCTTGTTGTGGGGCTACCCCTGCACTTCAAGGGTTAAGTACTTGTTTTTGTCCAGTGATGAAGACACTGTACTTACCTGAACCTTAGAGTCGGCTTCCTGTAAGACCGGTCCCTTCAGTGCCGCTTCAGCCTGAGTCATCTCATCCTATACAGTGTATTAAATGTGAGGATGCTGATGGACATGCCATCTCTAGAGCAGAGGAGGAGACTTGTTGGAGGGAAACAAGCACTTAACCCTTGCAATGTGGGGGTAGCCCCATACGATTATCTATGCCTGGAGTTCTTCTTTAAATGATTTCTGCCATTATATAGCTTATTTTACACAGTGATATCATCATTGGGTCTCTGCTTTTCTATGAAATGCAGACAGGTTATGGCTGGTTGTAGGGGCCAGCAGGGTGCTGTATATAGCTTCCTGAAAACATCACAGCACCGTGCCTCAGGACTACTCTCCAGAGCCATCAGACCTGATGCAAGCTATAGAAGGCTGGCTCCTGGGAGGAGTTATGCAAATATCAAAATGCCTTGATGGGTGGATGATGTTTTGGGTGGGTGGGAGTTTCTAGACAGGCATGCAAACTGACCTAGGTAGTGTCCACGTGTAAGGCTGAGCCTCTGTAAGAACTGAAATCCAATGAATGGGGACAGTTGGGCTAGGAAGGAAAGCTCTAGATGATGATGGATGTCCTCCTGACAGGAAATGAGAGCTGTGACTACCTGTAGCTTCTAATACATGAGAACTCGGTGTGCAGTGAAATCAGAGTGAGCAAGTTCTAATACAGGAGAGGGGTGGAGGTCACCTTTAACTGGACTCGTTCTGCCATGCTGAAGACGTTTCGTCATTCGTCCAGGTAGCTTCTCTACTTGGATGAGCGGGGAAGTGTCTTTAATGTTCTAGAACAAATCAAATGCACCTGTAATCACCCCTGTCATGAAACATATTGTTATTGTAGATACCTGAATTAGACTTGCAGACTACTGTACAGCAGAGCTCAAGGAGGGTAAGGAAGAAGCAGCACAGGGAGCCAGTCAGGTGTGCTATTTGTTCAAGGGGGTATACTCCTATCAGGAGAAAGTGACTGAGAGGTGAATTCATCAGTGTGCTGCTTCTCCTTTCACTGTCTAGTCACATGGGGCCTGTAAGTGTTATGTAACTGCAGCAGAGAAAAATCAGGTTCCCTCCCTTGCTATGTGGGACTGTGCTGTATGACAAAGCTGTGTAAGTGTCAGGACTGGATGGACGGAGACAGCTCTCATATCAATGTATTTCGAGGTCTGATTAGCTATAGCATGACCTAGATAAATGAAACCCTTCAGGCATCAGAGCACAGGTTTCTAGTCTATCATTAAGTTGATTACAATGTTTCTCCTGTACTCTGCTGGCTTTTATTCCTTGTTTGGATTGTTTAGGAAAGATATTTACCTATGTAGAGAAGGGGGAGAGGGATGTTTGCAGAACATGCTCACATGCAGTCCTGATGCTGCCAGTGATGCTGTAGTTTGTTGTGTACAGTGGCCTGTGACTTGGTGTCTTGCTCTGTCACTTCTATTCAGATCATTGAATCATTCTTATTGAGGAACGCTGAACCCTGGCACAGTTGCTGTAAGGACACTCCTCTGTTTGTGCCATATGTAGCCCAGGCGCATCAAGTCATTTGTAAGAAGTTCTGAATCTTGCATCCACACAAGGATGACATTGTTTCACAGGATGTGTCTTGGATTTATTCACAATCATTCTGAAAATGTTCTATAAACTGATATTGGCCATATTAGTCCACGTGAAACTGTCTAAATTTCTACTAACAGTTCTGGGAGAACTTCCTCCTTCTGTTCCAATCAGTAATCAAGTACTACATGGGCCAGATCTCCCAAAAGCTTGTCTAGATCAATGTTCTAGAAATGTTTCTGCAGGCCAATAAATGTGATCGCTTTTATATATAGTAAACGATCCTCCAATTCATGAATAATATAGATCATTATATACATTACATATCACGAAGAACTTGTATTCTCTTCCAGACGTGATACTGGGCTTTTGCGGTGCTTTGTCTTAGCAGGCAAATGATGTGTGAGAGCAGCTCTTCCCATCTGTGATGCTGATCCTGCTTCTGTTCTTCACTTTGTTTTGTGGGAGAGGCCATTGCCTGGAATGCCATTCTATTGTTCTTACATGTGGGGTTATAAGTGTTGTGTGCCTGCTGTGCTTAGTATGGACTGCAGATCCATGGCAGCGTCTGTAGTACCGTGTAAAAGTTTTCCACGCATGGAATGGAGCCGGACTATATGAAAGTTTAATACAAAGTTATATAGACAAACAGTTGTACTACACCCAGTATTTGTAGACAGGGTTTAAAGCTTACAGGGTCAGCATCCTTTCTACTTGTGCATGGGTCATATCCATTGATTTAGCTTGTTGGAGAACTCTGTTTTTGTGGTTGAGAATGGTGCAGTTTTGCTGTGAATGATATTTTGCTTTTATAACTTTGTTAAACCAGAATACAGCAATCCTTACAATTTTTTGCTTATTCAGTCTGAATACATTGCTAAAATCCTGGTTCATGAGGTTAACAATATTGCATACCATTGTCAGTCTGTATAATTTTACGTCCCTTTTCACATAAGCGGACCGATTGGGTCCACCTGTCAATTTTTAGTTTTTTTTGTCGGCCCGATCGGATGCTCTATGGGCAGCCATGTGTAATTGGACGAGTGTCCGTTTACACCCTAGGTCTGGAAAAACAAACAGATCGGAGATCTGTTTCGACGGACCGGATTGTGCTAGACCGGGGCAATCTGATCTATTACTTCCTATTCCCCATAGACACACATGGGGTCCGGCAGTATCAGTTTTTTTCCTAAGGTGTTAAATTCTACGATAAAGTGTAGTGGTTTTGCATACTGAAAAATTCCTAAATCTGGGCTTTTCAGTTAGCTTGAAATATCAGTTTGTGTTACTTTTACTTGTAAATGACCCATGCACACATTTATCTCAAGGGGTGAGATGCCTGCAGAATTCCGGAGGTGGTCCGCTTAGTCCAAGGAGCCAGTGGACACTTTCTAGTCACTTTGGAAAACGTGCTTCCTGAATATAGAGCGGCAGAAAAAAGCACCAGCGCTGTGATCGCTTGGCTGCTAACACTTTGTGTAGGCCTGAGTAAGTTTCATATGTTCTATGTTTATCTAGTTCACGTAAACACAGCTTCCATTGATATAAAGCAGTGTTGAATATTTAACTACTGGAAGTTAGAAAGATTTTGGATGACTATTTGTTCTGAGTGAACAGAAATAAACATGTACAATGCTTTGAGCCCTGTGGGAATTTTGCCTAACTTGAACCAGCCAGTGTGCCCATCAGAACCGGGAAAGTTTGTTTGTTTGTTTTTTGGATAGAGTATGGAAGGGGTAAAACCCGTCAGTTTGTTTGCTGTCTGGGTCCAGTTGAAGAGATTTTCTTTGTTTCCTTGCCAGGAAGTGAGGAAATCTCTGCAATGTGCGGGGAATTCGCCTTAGAGATTTGTCACTTAAATGTATGTCCCTATTGGAAAATGTACCCTTACCTCTTGCTGTGGTGGAGAATTTCCATCACCTTCTGTATCTGCGAGAGATGCTAATAGGACTCGGAAAGCGTGAAACTATCAGTGGGGACACAGCAATAAAAACCTGACAGGGGTTCTTAAACTTCCATTCTTCACTGGGTGGGATTTTTATCAACAATGGAGCAAAGAGAGCAAAGAGAATCTGGAGCAGTAGCCTACAGCAACCAATGAGTATCTCTTCAGTTTAAGCTTTGAAAATGAAATCTAGAAGCTGATTGGTTGCCATGGGCAACTGCTCCAGATTCTGTCAGCTCCACTTTTGATCCCCCTCATATGTTTAAAACAAATGTAAGAAATTAGCTTGCAAATATAGTTATTTTACTTTCATATTATTGGGGATGTGCAAGATAAATCCCAGAGCCTCATTGTTCTGTTGGTACAGCTCTGGCCCTGTGTGAAATGTGCTAACGCTATATACACGCTAATGAATGCAGCTAAATGTGTCTAAACCCAGGATCCTCTTACCGTAGGGAAATACTTCCCAGATCACTTCTCCTGTGTGCATGAGCCCCATCCCTGTTTCAGATGGTTTGACAGGACTACCTGTCACAAAGAGACCTTCAGAAGTGTTTTTGCATCAAGTCAGAAGAGACCTTTATCTGACCGGGTAGCCTGCCGGCCCCCATGGAGGATTAGATCTAAATATAATAGTCCTGTATTTTGGCTTATGTAGAGTATGTGCTTGGAGTTTTTTTTTCCTATGTTGATGAAAAGGCACTGCACTTAAGTAGAGTATATGCGGGTAGATTTTCACATGGATGTTTGTACCAAAAAGCCGTCGGAACGATCGAGAATGCCAACCGGGGCTTGGTGATTTGACGTTCAAAATTTTGTTTGCCGTTTTTTATATTTTACTTTTTGGAATGACGTTTTTTGAACGAAAATGACATTCACTGTTAGACTTTTGTTCATGTTGAGGAAAACATTTCCAACGTGCTGCTTCAAATTTTTTCATCACTGCGGTAGAAATCGATCAATTTCACCTCCTCAACAATTAGAAAGTTGAACTAGCATACCAAAATCGATTTAGTTAGTTCCAAATTCTAACTGTGTATAGCTATAGCTGCTGCTGGTCAGCTGAA